GAGGTCAGGGGCGGTCCCGGCCCCCAGGAGACCCGCCTCTCCTGGCCTTAAGGTGAGCACTCCTCCTGGGAGAAACCAGTTCCCTTCGCCTCTCTGCCCTGAGCCTCTGCAGTTCAGGAGAGGCTGAAGGGTTACTGGACCCAGGGGGAGACTCACCTGTAGACACTGAGTCCTCAACCACCTCCGGAGCCGGAGTGGATTCACCTGGTGCCTGCTCCTGAGGATCCGGCACAGGTGCAGGCGCTTCAGAATCAAGGCCCTGCCCCAGTGCAGCCGGCCCTGGAGGCGGGGACTCCTGTGCAGGCTGGGATTCCTCCAGTTCAGCCTCTGAATTGGAATCCCAGGCCATCACAGGGGCGAAAAGCAGATCATGCCTTTTTTTTTTTTTTTTAGAAAGAGGGAAGGGGGTGTTGAAACAGAACTGCTGAGCAGCTGGTCGGCAAGCGATCGGGAGGGATAAGGGACTCTAGATATAAAGGAGGCTGCTGGGAGAGGGGAGGTAAAAGCACATGGATCCTCAGGATTTTTGCACTGGGTCACCACAAATTCACCATCAGATCACATAGCATGTCCATGGCTATAGCCTGCATCAAAAAATCACGCATCCGCTGTTTCGTGGGGCTGCAAAGGCACGGATGCACATGGATTCTCAGGATTTTTGCATTGGGCATATCATGTCTGCGGCCATAGCATGAACCACAAAAATCATACATCCACTGTTTTGTTCAAAATAATTTTTTTTCTTGTTTTCCTCCTCTAAAAACTAGGTGTGTCTTATGGTCAGGTGCATCTTATGGAGCGAAAAATACGGTAGCTATGATTGCTATGCTCTGCCTCTTCAGCTGGAAGCAGCAATGCTCATGAATTCCAGTTGCTGGAAACCACAGGAAAGGAGAGTGTTCTTGTGCTCAACTCCTGCTTGCAAGTTTCCCTCAGGGATCTGATTGGTCACTGTGAGAACAGGATGCAGGACTAGATGGGCCATTGGCCTGATCCAGCAAGCTCTTTTTACGTTTTTAAATGATTGGTTCTACTCTCACGCTTCATCAGCCCAAGGCCTTTTGTTGTTGTTTCTGCCAGCCTGAAACAGAGGCAAAAATAGTATGGGATGCCGTTGGGATGCTGCTAAGGAATCGGGGGCCCCCAGCTGGCTGCAGACCACCGGCCGACGTGCCGGTTGAACTCCAGTCCTTGGTGCAGCATGAATCTGCGACCCAGAGCTTCAGAAGCTTCAGAAGCTGGGCAGGCAACTCAGCAGAGTAAATACAACAGAAGTGGCAGGGAGAGGCTGTGTAAAGCATATTTACAAGCAGTTTATTCAGCATACATCAGGACAAGAGGAAAAACATGTCTTCTCCCTTTCATGTCCAAGCAAGCAGCATAAGCAATAGCTATACACACAAACGGAAGTTCCCAGCAAGCCGTGCTGGATTGTAAACAGACATGTGACATACAACAATTCCACACGTCTCTTAAGGTGGAACGGAACATCAATATCCTAACAAGATATCCTCTGCTTGTGTGCATTCTGGCAGGTGTGCATGCACACACACATCTGATGAGGTGGATTCTAGTTTACAAAAGTTTGTGCCACAGTTAATTTGTTGGGTTTTAAGGTGCGGTTGTTATGTGGTTAGAACAAGCTGTACATGGTACGTAAGCCAGGGCCAGGTGTATCTGTATCTGTGCAGAGAAAAGGGTAGCTCATGCTTGCAGGCAGGATTCTGTGCTCTGAATATGACTCTCCTGCTGCTCCGCGTGGGTTACCCTTTGGGGTCAGTGCAATTACAGCAATTCCCCATGGAGGTAGTGTTTTTCTTCTCTTTATCATTTCAAATTGATGTATTTAAAATTCCACAGCATCCTCATCTGTGGGAAGGAAAAATGGGAAGATTTTGCACCTCACCCCAAGGTCTTGGAGTTAATCCCAGCAGGGCTCTCTGATGACTGTGTTTGCTGTAACACGCTTACGTGCATTTGACCCTAGCCGTGCTCTCCTTACAGGTGTAGCTTTCGTCTATCTTCCTTTTAGAGAAAGAGAAAAGGGGAGAGCGGAATTAATGCAAGACTCCATTCGCCAAATGCTGTGTTTGATGGGAAATGATATACATATTGGGTTCATAATATGCTATTAACTCAAAAATGGTAGGATAATGCCTACTTATCCATCATCACAGTGGATTAAAATGATTCCTAGTTAATTAGATATCTGCAGTCATATTGTACTCAGATGGAAATGCAAGGATGTAAATCACGCAATGAGAGTTCTTCAATGTGGAATTGTTCAAACTGGCGTCATAGATATGTGGTTAAAAACTCCTCATTTGGTTAGAGATGTCTGTTTGTTTTACAGGTTTTACAACATAATCATAAATCAGAATAAATGCTCTTTTTAATTGCAAGTAGGAGTCATTTATTTTTCAACATAATTAAAAAAAGAAAAAGAAAAGAAATGCATCTACAATGTTAGAAGGGATCTTAAAAGGGCTGCTTAATGAATGACTCTATCCATACTCCCAGATCTGAGGGATGATTGTAGTTGCACGGTGGTAAGTGATGTGCACTTTGCACATTCTCAGAGGCACTCTTTTATGGGTTATTCTCTTTCCCAGAGCCAAAGCCTGGTATTTAAAATAGGTCACAAGGGTGTTGACCATGTCTGCTCAGATTCAGCCTCCCCTGAGCTATGGCTAGGATTCCAAGACCTAACTTATATGAGCTCTAGGCGTGGGTAGGTTAAGTGAATTTGTGGATAACAGACTCACATACAAATTTGCATTATGACATTTCATCAATTGTTTGGAAGTCAAAGTCTTTTGCCATATAGCAAAGGGTGCTGAAATACTCAACTACATAGCATGAGTGAGTAGCTGTGACTCAAAAGTTAGGGATCCTGGTGGAATTGAGTCTTTGCAAATATATTCATCTGCACCTCTCAGGCTGATATGCAGATTGGAAATGGGCTACCCGTACAATTTTGCACCTCTATGAATGTTGTACATTGAATTGCAACAGTTTCTATGCAATAGCTCCTGGTGTGGTGGGGCAGAGCCACCCTACTGATGCTGGTGTTGCTGCAGCTTACCTGGAATTGGGGGGGGAGGGGGCTGGGGTCAGGCAGGGTGTTGGCAAAGTCAGGTCTGTGGGGATGCACCAGAAGCAGCACCAGATTGTCTCCACTGGTGCATCTGCACAGCCCTGACCCATACCCTTCTACATCCTGCTAATCAAAATGGGATGTCCATTATTTGGTTGTGAGCTCTCAGGTGAGATAGCTGATTTGAATGAGAGCGCCGGACCAAGGAACGAGAAATTCCGGGATTCCATCAGAAGCTGCTATGGGTTCTGTAATTCAGGGATGTCCTACTTAAATTGGGTTGGTTGAGAGGTATGCGACCTCACTGCTGTCCTGCCCTAGCCCAGACCCATCCAGGTAATTTGCAGCAATACCCACACTGAGAGGGCAGCCACCCAAGGGCATTGATCACCGCTATTTAGATGCATCAATTTTCACATTTAAACCCATATTTTGCAAAGAATAGAATAAAAGTAAGTGGGGGGAAATGAAAGAAATTGAAATAGAAAGTCCTTCCCTAACTCGAATCTTCCAGAGTGCCTGGGAAAACCCAGCCTGATGGGTGGGGTATAAATTATTATTATTATTATTATTATTATTATTATTATTATTAACCATTGGCCCTGTCTGTCTCTTCTTCTGGGCTTTGTCTGTGTACTTTCTGCCCCATGCTCAGAGGCTCCCCCTCTCTCTGATTATTAACAATGCAAACCTGTGCAGATTAACTCAGATTTAAGAGATATAGTGAGGTTTCCTCCCTAGTATTTACATTAAGGATTGCAGTGTAATCCTATACATTTTTACTCGAGTGAGTTTTAGAAGAACTTATTCCCAAATGAGTATGTGTAGGATTACAGCGTAGAGCATGAAGTGGTGCTGAAATTCATTTACTTCCTCCCTCTGAAAGATCCACACCGTAATCGTGTTTAGTGCTGTTCCACCAAAAAGTGTTTTCATCCCCCACTCCCATTAAAGAGGCTTCTGTATCTCTGCCTTATTCACAGCATGCCACGGAATTTCTTCTGTCGTTTTGATGGTGCAGGGTTGAGCTGCAGGTAATGGTAGCACTGCCATCTAAGGGTACATATATTCTACACATTTCTGTTGCTTTTATATCTATGGAATACTACGGCTTCCCCCGGTGAATGCTGGGAATTGTGGTTTGGGAGGGATGCCGCAGCAGAGATCCCCTGAGTTCTCCTGAATTGATCAATGAACTAGCTAAAGTCTGTAACGCAGATATGCTCAAATCTCCAAAAATGTGTTGTCGGTCCAATTTTGGCTTGTAGATTTCAGCAAATATTCAGAGCAGGATGTACTTTTTCCTGTGCTCTTGTTTGCCGCTTTGGGGAAGGGCAGAATAACATCTTCTTGTTTGCAGTCAAAAGAGACGTATGGTCTCATCTGCTAAGTTTTGAAGAAGATGAAAAAGCAAAGTGTGTGTTTAACGGGGGGAAGAAATGCTTTAATCTTTGGTGTTGTTGAGCAGAGCTCTGCTTGTGAGAGGCTTAAGTGCCCATTATTCCTTTTCTCAGCTTCCCCACCTGCTGAGCGTTCTCTCTGGCACTTTTTAATTAAGCAATGCCTTACAGTCAGCTGCAACACATTCTTAAGTGCACTTTAGAAACATAATTAGTCAAGACTTCTCTCAAGATACGGAGCATCAGTCCTGTGTATCATACAGCGTGCACATCAAGGCAGGCATAGCAAGCCAAGCTAATAGATCTCACACCTGGAGTCCCCACTTGTTGAAAATAATAAATATCTAACAATAAGTTAAGATATGGTTTGATAACTGGGGTTAAGGATGGGAGAAGTAGAGATTCGCTTCAGTTTACAATTATAGGTAAACCAATTGCCATTTCCCAAAACAATACGGCAACCAAAACATCCTTCAAAATGTGAGCTTTTCAATGAATGTATTGCCTAGAATGTTGTTTTTGCTTCAAACATTGCAAATTTTGGACAAAATGGATTGCTTCAAGAAGTGGCAGAGAGCTATCTCTAGATTTGTCTGGCAGGGCAAGAAGCCCAGAATAAAATTTAAAATATTAACGGATGCAAAGGAAAGAGGTGGATTTGCCCTGCCAGACCTTAAACTTTATTATGAATCAGCAGCTTTTTGCTGGCTGAAAGAATGGCTGCTTCTTGAAAACACAGACATTTTGGACTTAGAAGGTTTCAATAATGTATTTGGATGGCATGCATATTTTTGGTATGACAAGGTCAAAGCACATAAAGCATTTAAGAATCATATTGTCAGGAAAGCATTGTTTAATGTCTGGATAAGATATAAGGATTTATTGGAAAATAAAACCCCAAGGTGGTTGTCACTGATGGACGCGAAAGCATAGAAAAAGCTCAATATGGAGGCCAAATGGCCGAAATATTGGGAAATTCTGGAACAAGAGGGAGATAGATTGAAACTGCAGAGTTTTGAGAAACTAAAAAACAAAGTGCGAGATTGGCTTCATTATTATCAGATAATGGAGGCATATAATTCAGACAAGAAAATTGGCTTCCAGGTGGAAAAATCAAAATTAGAAACAGAACTGTTAGAACCCAAAACTAAGACTTTGTCAAAGATGTATAACTTGCTGTTGAAATGGAATACTCAGGATGAAACGGTGAAATCTGCTATGATTAAATGGGCACAAGATGTTGGACATAACATAATGATGGCTGACTGGGAACAGTTATGGACCACAGGTATGAAGTTTACGGCATGCAATGCCTTAAGAGAGAATATTATGAAAATGATATACAGGTGGTACATGACCCCAGTCAAGCTTGCAAAAATTTATCATTTGCCCGATAATAAATGTTGGAAATGTAAAGAAACTGAAGGTACATTCTTTCACCTTTGGTGGACGTGCCCAAGGATTAAGGCTTTCTGGGAGATGATCTATAATGAATTGAAAAAGGTATTTAAATATACCTTCTTGAAGAAACCAGAGGCCTTTCTCCTGGGCATAGTCGGCCAATTGGTGTTAAAGAAGGATAGAACTTTCTTTATGTATGCCACAACAGCAGCAAGAATACTTATTACAAAGTATTGGAAGACACAAGATCTACCCACTCTGGAAGAATGGCAGATGAAGGTGATGGACTACATGGAATTGGCGGAAATGACTGGCAGAATCCGAGACCAGGGAGAAGAGTCGGTGGAAGAAGATTGGAAGAAATTTAAAGACTATTTACAGAAATATTGTAAAATTAATGAATGTTAGAATGATGTCAGAATGAAGTTAAGTGGTTTTAGCAGCAATGTCATAAAGGTGTATGTAAAAATGGATTGTTAATAGGTGAGAATCTAAAGCTATAATATATTAAGTTAAAGGACTAAGACAAAAACAAAGAGGGAAAGGAATTGCTGAATTAACCAATTGAACTGGAATACAAAAAAGGGAGGTGAGAGGAGGTCAGGGAAGCAAGGAAATGAAATGTAAGATATGGAAGGATTAATATGTTTTTAAGTGTTTTTTTATTTTTTTTCTGTACTTTGTATTTTGTATGTTTTTTCTCTTTTTTTATATTTTCCCTTGTTTCTTTTCTCTTTAACTATGTAATTTTGTGTTTCTGAAATTTTAATAAATATCATTAAAAAAAATAATGTGAGCATTTCTAAATTTTGCAGTGAAGTTCCGCAGCCAAGTAGTGTGTACAAAAATGCAAATACTAGGCTAATGTATGTATAAAAAGGCAGTGGGTTTTTTCTTTAAAAAAAATGTTTAGGAGTTCTCTCATTTTGACTCAAGAAATCAGCATTTTATAGTTTCTTCTCCTGTTAGATTCACAAAATGTTTAGAGGTATGTATACCCCTGCATCCCCCCAGAAAAAAGCACTGTATAAAGGCATATATTACTGAAAAGAATCATTCAAAAATGCATTGCATTAGGGGAAACGGTATTGTAAAAAATATGCATATTAGACAAAATGGCATAGAAACATGTGCTTGTTAGGAAAATTCACACTAGAGTGCTGATGCATTTTCAGGAAGACTATCTATCTATCTATCTATCTATATATATACATATATATAATTACACAAACTGATATGGAAATGTGAAGAACAGGAACTGAAGTTTGAAAGGAAATTGAGAGAAACTGAAATGGAGAGTCACCCAACCCTAATATGACCTCCTGCTCAATCAGATGGAAGCCGGACTAATCTTAGGTCACTGAGATTGAAGATGGAGTGTCCATCTCGTCCAAATGTTTCATCCAATGTTCAAGCAGAGGCTTCAACAAAGTTCACAAGGTGAGATGAAGGCAACAGCTGTCTCCATTGTATGTCCCACTCTAGTAATGGATAATTCAAGAGGCATTCTGATTCACATGAAGGTCTCATTTAGGCATTGCACTTAGTGCCTCATAGCCCTCTTCAATTACAAGGCTGCATTCGCTGACTGAAAGTCCAATGTTCCCCGTGTCTGCTGATGGGACCCTTGCATTGATTGTATAGTTATTCACATAATTAGTCAGACTTTTTTAAAAAAAAAAAAACCAGCAATGCACAAGGGCCCAAGACAAGGGGGAATAAACAGTGCAAAGGACAAACCTTAGAATTGCCAAATTATGTGTAGAAATACATTTAAAATAGATTCTTCTTCATTCCTATCCTGGACCTCACCCCAGAAGTCCAAAACCAGCTGTTCCACTGCTGGCAGATGTGATTCCACTTCCCCTAATATGTTCACTGTGCGTGCCTCATGATATGAATAGGACTGACATCAAAGAGACCCACTATGTTGTGGAGGTTGCCAGGAAGTTCTTCCATTGTCCACATGGAAATATCCAATTTTAACAATGACCTTCATTCTGCCTGGGAAAATCTGTTCTTCTGAGTTTGGCTTGTTTCACTAGGTTTCAACTTCACTGATAATCCCCCAAATTATGCTTTGGCAATTAAAATGATCTTGCCACGATATGATATGTTTTATGTCAAAACAGTGTATTTTGAAAGACATTTCGACTCCTGTACAAATACCTGTATATTAAAATAGCTTTCCTAAACTCACTCAGACTGTTAACCCCACCTCAGCTCCTCCACCTCAGTATGCTTTGCTACAAATAATGTGAACCCCCCAAATGAGTATTTCCCCAAAATATAACCCTAGTTGATGCAGTTGAATAAAATAAAAGCTTCTTAGAGGGCAATGCACTCACCGTTCAGTCGTAGCAAATAATGTGACTAATCTTAGGTCACTGCAATTAAAGATGAGCCAGGGATTTATAAATTAGCTCCTATTATACTCATTCCTATCATTTGACCATCCTGCATAGTTAATAGGAAATGTTTCCACTGTTTTAATCACATTTCCCCAAGACCTTCATAAAATAAATCTTGCACTTGCCTCCATTTTCATATTGGTTTAGTGCTATATAGTGTGACTCTGTAGAATCCCAATACAGTGGGATTTTTTTAACATTACTCATTCGTTTCCTCCACTCTGTCCATTAATGACTGCGCAAAAGAGTTTCCCATGGATTCTGTTCCTGGTTGCTGGACAGATTATCTTGTCACTTACTAATTGTATAGTCCAATGATGGCTAATAAAATTAAAAATATAACAATAACAATTTCCTTCTCCTGTGGACCTGTGGCGCTATAATGCAAAAAATACTTTTTGCCCCTCCTCTGTGACCTTCCAAATTTTCCATTATTTAATTTGCAGTTGCAGCAGGTCATCCAGTGTAATAATATCCTCTACAATGTATCCACTTTGAGAGTGTCCCCTCCAACCATGGGGTGTTTGTCTATTTGTTGATTTCCCCTGGCCCCCTCAGAGCACATTGATTAGAAATAATACACTACTATGGAAATAAACTGTAGGAATATCAAAGAAACTTATCAAAATTATTATAAGATAAGCATTATTTCTCAGGAGTAATCAAATTCTGTAATCAAATTTCACCTAAAGCAAAGTGAGTTTGGAGGGCGCTGCCCAGGCAAATCATCCATAGGAAGAACTGGAAGCAGTTATTTATTTATTTGTCATGAGATTCAGAACATTTCTCAGGAGGTTTCTGCAAATGATTTGATGCTGGTTGGCAGGCCCAAATCTGAATTCTCACTCACTGGCTGACCTTAAGCAAATCACATTCTCTTTCAGCATAAACTGCCTCACAGTCTGTGAGAATCAAATGGAGGGGATTCACTTTTTACCTTTATATTTATTAAATGGAAAAATAAGTGACCAATAATAAATGGAATAATAAATATTACAGTGGAAATATTCTTGCTTCAGTGCTAAAATTAGAGGCATGAGAGACATTTCATAAATGCCATGATATGGAAAGATCTTTGTTGGTGTCATACATGGTATTGCATGTTAGCAAAACAACTTAACACAGGTGGAGTCCAGAGGGAAACGAAATCTTGAACAAAACCAGTATGTAATCGGCGGAGGCATAAATGGAGAGTTTCTGTCTTTCTTACTTGAGGCTTTGTGCATTCAACACAAACATACTGAAGAAAATCTCCCTCAAAACCATACGGCCAATCAGACCTCAGCAAACATTATGCCACTCTGCCTGACTGCTAAACAACACTTACACACACACACACACACACACACACACAACAATTAAAAGCCCTCTAGATTATAAAAGGGAATAATAAATAAGACACCTGCATGGAGCAATCAAAACAGCAGAATGGGACATCAAAAAGCAACAATAATTGGCAGTCAGTTTCCTCCATAAGCCTCCCGAAAGCAGAGAAGGCATTTTATGATTGAATTCTCTCTTTCTCTCATGGGTATTCCAGGGGCATCCCAGAGAAAGACCCTTCTGACATACTTCAGTCGACAGCAGGATGCATTGAAGAACATGTGATGTTGGCTGGAGTGCATGGCTTAGACTGCATGGAAGAAGACCATCATTAAGTAAGCAAGAGTCCCAACCATTTAAGGCTTAAAAAATGAGAACAGGCACCTGAAACTGAGCACAGAAATGAATGGGTATCCAACAGAGACTGAATTCAACAGAGAGTTATACACTTCAGCTGGCCAGTCCAGGATCACAGTCTAGGTCCTACTCGGAGCATCTAAGGGACACAGAGATACCTGGAAAAGGACCTGCATAGACAAGATGTTTAAAACCATGTCTATGTGGAACGGAACAGAATGCTTGCATCTAGTGAAGAGTATAAATAAATTTCCTGGGAATTTCATTAGCGCCTTGGATACCATCACAGTACTTTGGAAAAGAACAACCTTTATGTCCTATTCCATGAAGAGAAGACATGTGCAGAATGGCAAATTGTGAACCATTGCCAAATAAAACATTTATTCTGTGATGCATTGGTTTATGTTGGAGGGGTGAATCATCATTTGTTTGCTTGTGAAACATGCTGCACTACAACGTTTCTTGTTGCACTGCCATCATCTTGGTTCTGAGGCAAGCTGTCTACTTCTTAGGATGCTAATCTCATTTCTTCTTGGGTTACTCACACAAATAAGTACTTGTTTTTAATGTGTCTTTTAACCAGTATCGGCTCATACCAACACAAACCCCTCACGCTAAACCAAGTTGCCAGAAACAAAAATAGCCAATCAAAATATTAATTTTGTGCACTGAATACACTGGCAGTTTCTATGTGTGAAGGGTGATTCAAAACAAAATATAGACAAAGTTTCCTCTTTTTAATTCTGTTATTCACCATGCGAAGAGTGCAATTTAATAAATTCGTTGATATTTTGTTCTTTGTGTAGATACTATCTTAATGGCATCACAGTCCTGTTTCTCACATGCAGAATGCCGCTCCACCAAGAGTTGCTAGTGGCACTGTGTACTTTTCTGGAACCTGAGGCACAAACCCGCAGGGCAGGGGCGGGGCACAGAGGGTCAACAAAACCCACCACACCTGGCCAACTTGCTATCAACGCCACCGGGCACACCTGCATGGGACATGGAGGGTTCATGAAGCCCATACACCAGCTCAGCCCTGGCCAACAGAGCCAAGAAGAGCTGCGCTGTACCCCTGCCCACCTACGGAAGGAGGAGCCTAGCTGGCCGATGTGGCTCTTCTCAGGCAAATCCCGCTGGCCAGGCACCCATTCAGAGAAGGGGCAATGATGTGGCGGTAAGGCCAGACTGGGCTCCAGGGCCCAGAGGACCCCCCCCCAATGGCAGACAGGGTAGGACAGGGATCTCTGCATGGGGGTGCCTGGCTCGCACCCCCTAAAACTGTGTGCCTGGGGCTATGGCCCCTAGTATTAGAGGAAATTGTCAGAAACATTTTGAAGTAAGCTGCTTGTATCCTGATCAACTGACAGTTTTGGAGGAGAGTTAGAGAGATATTCACCACTCCCCCTGTGATTAAATTTAGTAGTAATAGTAGTAGTAGTAGTAGTAGTGGTAGTAGTAGTTACTCACCTGCAGCATAAATTCCCTGTTACTATCCATGCGTCCCAAAATAGGTTCATTCCATAGTCTTCAAATTAATCATTGCTTTCTGATTAATAGGATACCATTTGCGACTAGACCCAGAATATATCTATGTGTTATCTAACTATAAAATACAGACTTGGATAGCAGCAAAATTGCCATATCACAGCTACATTATACCTCATACAATGTAAAACAATAAGCCCC